ATATATACACACACACACACACACACACTTCAATGTGGCAGTTGTAAGAAGACGCCATAATAATTATGAACTTTTGCAATTTTCAAAATTTAGTGTGTTTAACGAATAGGATCTTCCCAATTTTTAAGCGCGCTTTGTTATGTCAGAGGAAAAAGTTTAACCAAAAATTGGACGCAATTTTTTAATAAAAGTTTGTAAATTCTCAGCCTTCTTGTGAAGTACTCCTGGAAAACAAAATGTTTCAAATTCGCTGAGCCTCGAGTTCGACCAGATTGATCGGGAAATGTCAATTTTGAAGAAAATCCTGTTAGGTCGTGGCATTTTCCGAGTATCAATTGAAGGTGAGTGATATTTTTGCAGTCAAAATGTGATAACAACTGTAGTGATCAGTAATTTTAATACGTCCCGGGCATGGAGGATTACATAATGAAGCCAACTGAAGTACACAGTGTGTGTTGTGTGGAGTCCTTTTATTTGAGAAGCTAAGGAGAAAATATCCTCTCGAACTTTATGCAAAACAGTGAAGTGAAAATATATATATATTTCTAGACATTGTACGCAAAATGCGTTAAGTGAAATAGTACAAGCAGGAAAAAATATATTTTTACAAGTACAATGTCTAGAAAGATGGTTCACAAGACAGCTTGGTGGGAAAACACTTTGTTTTTGGTCGGGAAACAAACGGCTCCACCCAGATTGAAACCACTTTCCGACTAAATGACAATTTTCGAGAAGTGCGGCGATGATGTGCTTGCAATACGCAGCTACCCTCGACACGCGAGCAGCACGCCAAAGCGTTCTTGGGTGGCTCTTACGAATGCTTGAGGCTAAACTAAAAACTATATAATCTTACGCACAGAACATTGACTTTGGAACAAGTCGTCCGTGCGAGTCATTGTATGAATTTTATTAAATATACGTATCCTGCATTTGTAACCATTGTTTATTTAACTGAATTTATATTAAAATTCTTTAGAATATAAATGTTTTGTGGTGTTTCATTAAGAGTGAATAAATATTTCAGTTTGTAAATAAATGTAATTTTTGCTATTAAGTCGTTTGTTAAGTACTACAAAAACAATCTACTGTATTTAACCTCTGCGGGTGCGGGTCTTTCCAAACATTTCTCCCAACATCGTAGATTCCAACAGTCTGGCAGCTGGCCACACCTGATACACTATTACTTTACATGAAAGACGGAAGAAATGAGCAAATTTATTGAAAATACAAAACTTAAATGTTTTGAAGTTCATTAATTTCCATAGTGACAGATGCCTGAGGCTGGATCTGTTTCATATACAATAAACATGAGTATTAAATAAAATGAAGAAAAGACATTTTATTTTCGCTGAATAGCTCCAACATTTCAGTTTCTTGTTTGGTTTCATTAATTTATTATCGCCTCTGCATTTCAAAACACAGCACTGAATCGCATTTGAGGAAAAATCACGTTCGTATCGATACATTACATAATTAAGGCCCCCCTGAATTATTAAATCTGTGACCTTTATAATAATGATCTTGTTTGATAATTGCATGGTCGACTTATGAAATATTGAAAACTAAAGTTCAAGTTTAATAGATGCACACTTCTAAACGGAATCTAATCGGATTTGACTTCCTGAAGAAATGAAAGTGGAAATTCCGTTTCTCCGCGGAACGCAACTTCTTTGGAAGAGAAAGGCAAAAATGAAAAATCACATTGCAAATTAGTCAACTAAATTATTCAAATTGTATACCACGAAATTCACTAGATAAATACCATAAAGTTATTGGATGTGTGTCTTACAAACCTTTCATGAATATCATATTTAGTGACACTGTAGTATCACTAAATATCCAACTAATATCAACTAGTATCCAATTAGTGATGCTACAACAGTACATATTTTCTCGCAATATTTCTCGCTTTTGCAATTCCTGAAAATCCAGAGTTCAACGAAAATTAAACCATTTTTAAGCGTCATTTGCTCTATCCATATAAAAAAATGATGTTTTTGAGAACAAAATGTTAATTGCTTTAAATTCAAATAGAAATTACGCGAAAATTATTCGCTCTTTCAAAATCTTGTACGTGACCTTTATTAAGGATCTACTTTTTTGGAACAGATTTCCCAGAAAGAAAAAAGAATGCTCTTCCCTCTAGGATATTAATATAATTTTAAGAATGAAATAGGCGACTAGCCAACAAAAGGTAATTCCAGAGCTCTTCAGGAATACTAAAAAATATTGATTTTTTCAGTGGAGCAGTGAGCGGATATTTCAACGGTAGGAATAAGAAATTGGGCTTAAGAGCTGCCAACGGCTGCCCTAGGTGTGGACGAGGAACTTTCAATGAGTCACGGGCTTGCCTCTCTACATATGAAAACATTTAACAACGAGAAATGCAAAATTTGCAAAACGGCTGTTGCTGCTCCTCCCGATCCCGACAACTACGATCTTCGAACAAGTTCAAAGTTCAACCGTAGCCTTTGTTTTCCCATTGCCTCGCGAGGCCCAG